TACAGCTGAAAAAATGAATGAGTGAATTAGAATATCAGACTGTGGAAATTTCCAGAAGACAGCAAGAGAAACTAAACTGACCTGGCTTATGGATAAGTAATATTTGAAGAAATAATGGAGATAGGTTTCCAGTTCTGTTACTATGCCAGGCTGTTATTACCACTAAAAAACACTAAGATTACTTCATTTTGCAATGTTTTCATAAAAGATCAAAGAGCTGACATGATACAATAGTTAGGAATTACCATAAAGTCTAGAAGATGAAAACCGCTCATGTTAGAGTGTTTGCCTCTGGGGCGCCTGTAAAGGGAGAGAAAATGACAGAGATGGAGAGGGGAGTGAGTAGAATAAAGATCCCTCCTCCGCATCTTCCCCTGGCGTCTAAAACGTGAACAAAATAATTTTGGACATTTAATGAAGTAATGAGGGCAAATGAATACAGATCAGGATGACAAACTGTTATAAAAACTATTTGTTTTGATGTACGCCCTGAAGTTCAAATGAACTATATGCTCTAGTTTCTTTCATGGCTGGACATAAATATATAATTTTCCCTTCAGTCTATTAAAATTGCTGAATATCTTCTCTCTTAGAAGTATCTAATTTCATGTTTAGTGAAAGCTTTCACTAAGTAATCCTTTTAAAATCATTAAGCTTTTAGTGGAAGAGCAAAAATAACCTAAATCTTGTTTATTCTTGTATACAATCTCTATATGTCTTTACTTTCTTTCATCTTACCTTTTGGGGAGCATCTTCACTTAAATTTTTATTTATTAAGAGGAGCATCCTTACTTTTTGTCATGCATTATATTACCACAACTCTTGAAACCCAAGGGAGAAAAATAAGATAAAATGAAGGCCCTGTTCCTTGTCTTTCAGTAAAACCATTCTCCATACCATACTTTAAATTATGTACCTGGTATACATAAATTGTAATTCTACTTGTAGGTTTTATCTATAAATGAATGTGTTGCTTTAAAGTAGCTATCAGGGAAAGCTTCCATTTATTCAAATAACTGTACCATTATCTAAATCATTTTTTATAATCCTTTTTCAGAATTGTTCAAAATTTATTTTACGTACTGAATACGTACACATTTTCTGTATTATTCAATTTTGCCATATCTTGTTTTTTAAAATGAGTATATATAATATAAAATATAGATTACACAGAATAAACACGTCCCATTCCACAAAATGAAGGATTTTCAGCTGTTCCCCCAAATTAAATTCACTCCTAAATGATGCAAATACAACAGTATTGATACTAAATATGAAGGTATCCCACAGGCTCTCCAGACAAAGTTCTTGATGTCCTACAAGTACCTAAGTGTTTTCCTTCTACTCTTTGCACTTGAATCACTGAATTGTGGAGCATTAGCAAACAACAAAAGAAAAACCCCTATTATTCTCTTAAAAGCGCACATCATAGCCACGGTTTGTAAACATTTTTGGTTCTACGTTAACCTACAAATCTTCGTCAGCTAAATTACTCCAAAATAGTGGTGTTGAGATTGTAACCTTTTTGGCAGAGGAAGTTTTGAGAAAAAGCTTAAAGATGTCTCTCTTTTAAAAGAACAGCTTCCAATGCTTTACAAAGTTTTCAAGAACTAAAACTACACAAATGGTAAAATTTAACTTTCTTGTCTGTTTCCAACTCACTCAATATATACCCTGCATATATACTGCCATGTGGACACACCATGTGTACCCAGTGGCACAGAGAGCAGAGCAACATGCAGAAGTGAGTGTTCTAACCTAAACAAAGGAACTGGGGAGAGCATTTTTAGCGTCCAGGTTTCCTTAGATGCTTTGGGTCACAGGCTGTCTATATCACAGGACTTGAATTTGCTGCCTGCTCTATTGCTTTTTTTTTTTTTTTTTTAACCCTAAATAAAGAAAGGCGGTAGGAGATTCCTAAAAAATCTTTTTTCTTTGCCACTATCCCCAGGCATGGAGGAGGAATTAGCCTTGTAATCTGATCCTTTTAAGTCTCTGCATTTAATTTTAATCAAGAAACCAGGCAACCAAAGACGTTAAGACCGACTGAACGGCAGAGGGCAGCATTTACTCGTGGCTGAATCCACTCCGGGCTCAGGAAAGTTTTACATCTGGAGGGGGTCACTGTGGCAGAAATGCATGATATATGCCCTATCTTGTATTTGCATTGCTTGGTTTAAATTCTTATTTTCGAACCGGTTTCCCTTAAAGGGAAAGGAATACTGACCTGATTCCTAGTCGCTTTATTTTTTTCTTTTATAGAAGCGATTGCATGCGTCTACAAAAACTCGCTACAGTAAAAGAGCAGGGGAGTTAATCTGAGTGCAGCACGTGGCAGGTGAGCATTTTTAAAATTTAAAGTTCATTCTATTTATTTATATTTTTCATATTTATTTTTTCCCCAGACCCTCCCCCTGCCCCCTCCCATCCAAAAAAAAAAAAATTGGTCATGATTCCTTTGGCCACAGGATGTCAAGGGGGAAATATTCCAACAGAGATCTAAAATTCCAAACTCTGCAACAGGAAAAGGGCTCCGTCTTTCCCAAGGGCTACCATTGTTATTGTTGAAACTCTAAGGTTTGGCTACTGGCACCTGGGATCCATTTGGGAAGGGAAACAAAACAAACACCAGGTTCCCCTGGCTTTTCCTATAGGAAGTGCGAAGGGCCCGGGGTACCGAGGCCGCGGTGCCCCCCGTCGCCCGGGAGCTGGGGAGGGGAGCTGGGCGCAGGCCGAGAGCGCAGCGAGCCCGGGAGCGCGGGGCGAGCGCTCGGCTGCTCCAGAAGGAAAGGGGAGGGTCGGCTTGCGTTTCGCCGGATCCGTCGAAAGGGGCAGGAAACGGTTAAAGCCACTCTGCGCTGCGCATTCCCAGACAGGCTTTGCTTAATCCTTCCTCCCCGCTCGAGCAGCCCCTCGCCCCCGCCTTTCTTTTCTTTCTCTCGACCCCCTTACCCCTGAGTTATTACTAACATAACAACCGAACGGTCTTCCCTCAGACCCCGCCACTAAAGTTATTTATCTGCAAACCTGACCTAACCCCCATCTATTCTGCGGCAGCTTTTTGCTGTTATTGCTCTGACGCCGGCCAAGATTTAACCAAAAGAGAAAAAAAAAAGAAAAAAATCGCCCCCTTCCCAGCGCCTCCGACTAGCGGGGGTCCCACCCCGACCGCCCACAGTCCCCCGGAGGCCCCGGGAGTGATGAG